AAAATGAATTATGCTGTCACTGGATCAAACTGATAGGTGTGTTAAGAGCTATCTAGAGGCATATAACACACAATCTGCATGCAGTGGAACAAAATAGACGGGAAAACTACAGAGAGCCTGGCAGTGACACTGACGAGGATGGGAGTGCAGAATCTGGATTATCTTCTATTGATGATTGCGAGGAAGAACAAATATTGGCTGAACTTTGCTCAGATACTGACGAAGAAGAAAAAGTGGTGACGATAGCCGAGATGACACAGAAGAGTTTGATAGTAGAATGACAACTACTGTGACAACGAGATCAGGAAGACGTGCAACTCGTTTACTGCTATATTAAAAACAAGGTCAGCCTAAATTATAAGTTATGGGGGAGGGGAGGGCCAGAAAAAATTGTGCAAGTATTTAGTGGAGGGGCAATTTTTTTTATATATAAGGAAAGGAAGGGCTACTAAAAAATATACAGGCCAAAAATTAAATGCACCGCCCCCCTCCCCCCCCTCTAATTTTTGACCTGTCCCTTAAACGAAAGCGAGGAACTGAGAATCCTTGATGAAAACGACCAGTATAAGTTCCTTGGAAAATATGAAAATTCAACGCAGCTAGAAGATGTAGTCGATCTTCGTAGAAGCAAGTAAAGATTTCTTAAAGCGACTATCAGTCATTTGGACTAGCTAGCAACATCTCCATACCAAGAAAAATCAGAGCCACAATTACGTTCACTCTTTCCTTGCTTGCTGCAATACCACATGTGGAATGGAGAATGGCCGATCAACACGCTCAAAGGACTTGACAGAAGATGCAGAGACATCATTAGAGAGAATGGAGGTATGCACACAAGTGAATCAGTGAAGCGACATAAGCATTGAAGATACATACAAACTAAATAAGATAAAGATGGCAAATTCTCTGAACAACTGCCAAGACAAGAGGATACAAGTAGTAAGAACACACGAGCTCCTTAAGATCGATAAGGGAGGGACTCACAATCTTCAAAGACGCACGGAAGTATGCTGCCGAATATAACATCACCTGCAGCTTTACAGGCAAAGAAACCATCCTTGCCAGCGAAAACAAAACTGTCACTACAGAACAGTCTATCTAAACCTGGAGCAGTAAAGGAATTCTTAAGAATGGGAGAGATACACCAATGAAGTAAAGAAGCAGCTATGGTTGGGAGCGCTTACCAGCGAGCAGCTCAAAGACGAAGAAATGTCAGCTTCTGCCAATCAGCTCTTTGAAAACTGCATTGAAAAACATTCCCAATGTAGCATACAGTGTAAACAAAAGTATACCTCAACAACTACTCCCAACTAAAGCATACCAACAGAACAAACTACAAGTAAACATAACAAACAACAAATGTCGAATGTGCAACTCATACAAGGCTAGTAATTTACCTATTACGTATGTTCTTCTACTAGTTAGTTTTGTGATCATTATCCACTGATGATATGGCAGCAGGATTGCATGCCGAAACATGTCTAATAAAAGAGTCATATTGTACCTGAAGATTATAACACAAGAAGAAGAAGAAGAAAAAGAAGAAAAAGAAGCATTTGAAACCCTATATCTGCTGTTTCTCCTGAGCTTCTAGGGTTTTTCTCCGGGTTCTCCGGTTTTCCTCCCTCCACAAAAATCAACTTCCAATAAGCCTGAAGCGAGATGACGTTTTACCCCCGACTCTATACCATAATAGTTTTTAAAATTCTTTCATATTAAAATTTTTGATTCCTTAGAGAATACAGGAACAATAGTTATAATTAAAGAACAAAAGCAGTGTGAAAAGGATTATGGTCTAGAGACGGGGGTAAAACGTCATCTCGATCACTTCAGGCTTATTGCCCTATTTCACTATGACGTCACATCAAAACAATCTATTGCTTAAACGCAAAGGATCATGGTCGTCGAAGGGGGTCAAATCAACACGAATTCACCGAAAATTGTTCTAAAACCCGTATCAATCCACGAAGAGAAGTAGAATAGCCAGCAAACGCTCAGAATATTTTTTGATACATATTAACGCATATTATATCTGAAAACCAGGCCATTTTAGATTAAACTGTTTCGCTAGGAGCAAATTTTGTTGAATTTTCTATTGGATTTGGCGATTCTATCCGCACATAAACAAGCAGTGACGTCATAGTGAAATAGGGTAATTCACGATTGGAATCGCAATATCCAGAGGAAGAAAAGCCACTCTGTGGGAACACACTGCTAATTCCCATAACATCTTCAGATTATATTAAAACAAGTTCCAATTCTGAGAATGATATAAGTGACTGAATTAATAGCCATGTATTATAAATGATCTTGTTGCTATATTCAGATGGTTTAATAGCCCCAGATGTTAATGTTAATTTCAATTTAACATTAAAGGAATATTGGACTCTTTTTATTACAAAAAGATCTAGACTAATTGACAGTTAAAAGTAAAACAGAATGACGACAGGATCATCGTCAGGGAGGCGAGGGCAACACTCTTTCTGAAGATCAATTAAGATGTTTATATATTTATGATGAAGTCGAACTACTAAACACCTGACACCGTACTTGTCTGGCCACTAAATGTTCAACGGCAAAGGATCGATATATGGATAATTTACACATATACACCATACCAATCCGTGGAATCCTAGTTAAAAACCCTCTTCCCGGATTATACACTCCCCACCTCACCCGGTTACAAGGCCCCTCCTTTTATGGAGTTACCACCGTGAAGCCCCGTAGCGCATTGACAAATCCACTCAAATYATAGTTTTTCCTGAGCATATTCTTACGCGTTTTCGAAGCATTTACAGTTGCTGTTGACTGACAGACTATTGTTAATTGAAAAGGACAAGATTAAACATTTTCTTTAATTTTTTATTTTCTTTATTTTTATCCCCTTTTAAGCCCCCCTCTCCCCTCCCCCTCCCCCCTCCCCCAACTCCCGTCCAAAGCCCTTGAACAAATTTTAAGCCCAGGGGCGCCAAGGGCATTTATTAGCCAATCCATTCCGAGATTAAGAGGAAAAAAAAACTAATTCGAGTTGGTATTGCAAAGCATTGTAAGACATATTTTTTCGGTACTTGTCTTCTTTGTTTTACCGACCAAGTCAGTATAGTGACGTGTTATTGAACATTTGGTCACTACGCAGCTAGATTCATAGAAAAGAAAAGAAACAAAGACAGGCACAAGCGAACACGTCATTTATTTTATTTCATTTATATTCATTGGCAAGTATCGACTACGACTATCCCCAATATATGAACATTAATATATATAAAGAAGATATTTATTGGCACTAAAAGTTCTTGATGTCAATGCAGTGGCTTTTATTTTCGTTCTTCTCTTTCATTTTGTCTTTTTTTAGCAATTATATTCTCTTGCCATCTCACATATTTTCTCTCTTTTTGTCGTCAACGCACGTTCTTCCCACCGGTTGCCTTGACTCCCCTAGAAAAGAAAAAGAATAATTATTATTTATCATCAAAAATGTTTACATGTGCGATCGGTTTCCTTCACTTTCTCTGTATTTTTCTGAACCCTGAACATCTCTCAGTGTGGGCTACTTTAAGTCAGGGCACGGCTAACTCACCACAGATCGAATTGGAATCACTTTAGCAAGATCGGAGAACCGTAAAGAAAATTTTCGAAYCMAAGGACGAAAACTCTACGCGTAATGCCTTTGTATTATTGAGTTTATGAAGAAAACCGATGATGGGAGAGGAGAGATTTATCGAGATATAAGGTTTCGCTTGAGTATGAAACTAGCGACAAATCACGGGGCGTGGCATCATTTAGTACAAAGAATAGAGGCGATCGCGGCAAGGCACGTAAATCACATTGTGATGAGTTTTTTAACATTTCTACGAAATTTAACTTCATATAGTTAATAATACTTTATGGAATAAAAGACGACAGTGGATTTTCATGGTCAAATACATTTATTTTACTTCCGGCGCATTTTGCCTTAATTTGATGACCTTCCCTCCTTTTTTTTTAACCCTTTCTTCTTCCTTATTTTCTTGGACTAATTATACTGATCTTGAACAATTAATGGCAGGCAACCTGAAATTTAATCTAAAGTTCAATTACAGACGTTTCGTAAAGAAAGTTTGATTACTCCATAATGAAACAAAATTGGAAACTTTGCAATAAAATCAATCATCATGATCATTAATCAAAAACTCTCTCATTATTAAGGAATGAAACCGAATGTAATAATGACTATTTTAACATGTATCGCTAAGTAAGAGAGAATTCTCTCAGTTGTACCATATTTCCATGGAGCTTCGATAAAGTAATTGTAACATCACCCTTCAATTTTGTCAGTTCTCGGAATTTTCTTCGTCCAATTATTTTCAAATTGGCAGCATGTAGTCCTATTACCTATACTAATTTTGTGGAGCATTTTTGGAGCTTTATCGGACAGCGTTAACATCAAAGCTTACAAAAATTAAGAATTTACAAAACAAAGATATGTAATGAGTGAGATTACATGAGAAACCGACTGAGATAAAGAAACGAGCAAAGCTAGTCAAGATTGTATTAACATTACAAATAAAAAGAATGGAAATGGAAAAGGGGTTTTTTATATCGAAATATTATGAATATGATTGTTTAGTATAGACTCTGAACCATACCCGTGAGAAATACATAATGGCTTTTGTTAAATAGAAACATTTTTGATCATGACAGCTGGATGGTTTCTTTATATTTTTCCTGTATTGTTATCGTCTGACTGACTCAAATTAATTGTTTTATATAAGACATTTGACTATTAAGAATATAATATAGTATTCGACTATTATGAAATAACTCTTTCTTTCTTTCTTTCTTTCTTTCTTTC